TATATATATAGGTCATTGGGGATATGATTGAAGGATTGGAATGAGTTGACATTCTGCCACTTATGAATAGTTGCTTTTGATGTCAGGTCCATGGCTGCTTTTTATACTTGCAATCTGTGATGTCTTTTCATATGAGAAGTCACTATCCTATCTAATCAAAGGGTGTGCTTCACATGAATCCTGGATAGACATTGAAAAACAGACAGGACCAACCACATATTTAACTCACTTTTGGTACCTTTAAATCAATCTACTCAAGGCTGACCCCAGTGGTGAAGGCTTGGAGAATGACGGTATTGAAAGACATGACAAGTTGCATTGGTAGCACAGAGAATTTATCACTCCAAAAAAATCATGTGAAGATTGACTGTGGTCAGACTTAGGAAAGCAGATACTGATCTGAGTGGAAGGTTAACCAACATCAAAGATGGGATAGTGGCTTAGTGTGGAAAACAGCCATGGACCTGACATCAAACACAACTATTCATAAGTGGCAGAATATCAACTCATCCCAATCCTTCAATCATATCCCCAATGACCTATATATATATAGTTAACCACACTACATACTATATGTCAGAAAAGTGGACACAATTAACTTTTGTAATGAAAAAAGCGGACACACTACAAACCATTGTAGTCTGAAAAGGCAGATACAATTAACTTTTGTAATGAAAAAAGCGGACACTACAGACCATTGTAGTCTCAAAAAGTGGACACTATTAACTTTTATAATGAAAAAAGCGGACACTACAAACCATTGTAGTCTGAAAAAGCAGACACTACTAACTTTTGTAGTCTCAAAAAGCGGACACTACAAACCATTGTAGTCTGAAAAAACAGACACTACTAATTTTTGTAGTCTCAAAAAGCGGACACTATTACTTTTGTAATGAGAAAAGCAGACACTACTAATTTTTGTAGTCTTTGTCTGACCTTTGTGGTCTATGTCCAACTTTTGTAGTCTTTTTTGTAGTCTATTAGTAAACTTTGTAGGCTATAAATTACTTTTGTAGTCTGTCAGTGTCAATTACCCTTTTAGGGCATGTACCTTCCTTTTTGGGAGAAATTTCCCATGATACAATAGTTGTAGCCCCTTCTCTTAGCTTTCTAAATCTGTTGAAATCATGTTGTTTAGTGTTCTTTTCATGAAGAAAAATGCAAAAAACAAAAAAAAACGCGGCGCTTTTGAAAACCTTTTACCTTATATCTCCACAATGGAAGCACTTTAGGACATAATTCCAACTGATTCT